GACCCCAGGAGGCCAGGAAGGTCTCCAAACCCTCCCACTGACCCGCCCACAGGTGTAGATGACCGCGACTATGTGAATATCCCCGTGATCGTAAGAAAACAGGATCACCCAAAGGGCAGTCACTCACCCTCCAAGAGCGAGGGTAAGCGGCCCTGCCAGCCCACATCCCACAGCTTTGGGAGGGGCCGGTGGGAGGGCGTTGCCGGGACAGTGGGCAGCCCTAGAGGTCAGGATCAGTGGTGTGGGGTGTGGTGGCGTCAAGGCTGTGAGACAGTGTGGGGTAGCTCTGTGTGGTGATGATGGCATGGTGCTGGTTGTCAGGTGGAAGTGTTGGTGAAGGTTTGGGTGACGGTGATGGTGAATAGGTCACAGCTGCTAATGGCGTTGGGAAGAGTGGGCGAGGTGACAGCGCTATTATGGTGTTAGAATCAGTACTAATAGCTGAACCCTGGAGGTCACCTGCCCTGCCTCTGTCTCGTCCCAGCCCGGTCCAGGCCATCCTCGGACTCTGCCCAGTGTTTGCACAAAACCTTCACAAGCCTGTACATTCTTCTCGCCCTGATTTCCATCATTCTGTTGGTCTGGGTTCTGGTGAAGAGTGAGTGGGCTTTCAGTTTGGGGGGGGGCAGGTGGAGGGGTCCACAGGAGCTGGGGGCCCCAGTGTTCCCACTGTTCCCTTTCCCCCTAGTTCCTCCCCCCCCCCCAGGGTTGCAGAACTGGGGCAATTGAAGTGTTTTCCTACCCTCCCCCATCCTGAACAGATTCTGAGATGTCCCAGGAGCTGCTGGTCATGAAAAGGGAGATCTCGAATGGTGAGGGGAGGCCCTGGGGGAGACCAAGGGGTCAGGGTGGGGGCAGAGAGAGCAGCTGAGACACAGACACCCCCACCCCCACCCGCAGTCTCTATCTCCACACGTGAATGCGAGGAGGGGCAAAGGAAGGGCTGGACCTACGTCAGGCAGAGCATCAGTAACACCAAACAGAGCATTGACTTGGCCAACCGCAATGTGCAGGCTGGGAACGAGAAGCTGAAGAAGCTGACAGAAGGTGCCCTGTGGACCTCACCCCGGGACCGTGGTGCTGGGGAGGCTGGGGAGGGGACAGCAGAGGCCCTCCCTCCCGGAGCACAGGGTTTGGAGGGCTGATGGGTGCCACCTGTTAGTAATGTGGGGGGATTTAAATGCTGCTGGGCACCCCAAGTGCAGGGCTCTGCAGCACCCCAGCCCAGGTTTGGGCAAGGTGGAGGCCTTGTCTGAGGCTCCACCCCAGTTTTCTCCTGTCTCCTCCCACCCCCAGACATAACCCAAATCAAGACTCAATTACGGCAAATCTCTGAGACGCTGAAGAAAATGCAAAATCCACGTAAGCCGGGGCCAGGGGAGGTAGAGCCTGGATGTGCCCTACTTCTCGCCTAGGGGGACCTGCCTGATCTTGGATCTCTACTTGCCTTCTTACAGAGCCCACACAGTCCACTCGGTAATCAAGAAGACATGGAAGCCTGGGCGCAGCTCGGAGGACAGGGGCGTACCTCCCCGTATATATGACACATGGGGGCCCAGTCTTGTCTGAACCTGTTCATCCCCACATATCAAACCATATGTCACGGTGAATGAGTGAGTGTTGTGGAGTTGCGTGTGCGCGTGTGTGTGGGGTAAGCATTTCAGGGAGGGCAGGTCTTGGGTGAATGTTGAATGTGGAGTCACAGAGGGTGTGGTGTGCACCTGTCACCGTCCATGTGATACGTGTGTATCATGCACATCACAGTGGGTAGCTGTGTCAGCAGGGACCACAAAGGTGTGTCCCAGTGAGGGTGGGTGTTGGTGACACGTGTTACCCATGCATGTTTCACCGTTGGTGTGAATATGCATGAATGCCCTGCAACATGTTACATGTATGTATAAACGTGTCATGGTGGAATTGGTGGGTGCACCCCGTGGGAATGTAATTGCGGGTGTCACGGTGTGTGCCTGTCACTCCCTGTGCCCCGAGAACAGTGTGTGTCCGTGAGAGTGTGCCTGACGGTCACCGAGGGTGCTGGGAGCACGCACACCCGTGTGCCCGTGTTTCTGCACTCACATTTTGTGGTTCATGGAAGTAAAGGCCAAGGGAAAACAATGTGGCTGTCAGATCTGTTACTGGGGCGACTGGGGGGCTCTGGGGAGGGTCTGCAAGTGTTTGGACTTGGGGGTGGCGAACATCACACCGTGAACAGGTGGACGTGTGCCAGAAACGCGGGGGGCACGCGGGTGTGTGAGAATGCCGTCTGGAGTGGGTCCCCGTGTACAGGACCGGGTACCCAGGGAGCGGCTGAGACCCTGGCCCTTGAGCGTGGCCCCGGGGTGTGGCCTGAGATGCACCGTGTACACAGGTGCCCGGAGACAGAGACGCGTGCCCATCGCCAGCCGTGCCCCCTGAGCACGTGACCATCGGTGCTACCGCTCCCCCGCACGTGGGCCTCCAG